AGGTTCTTGACCCATTTTGAGTTAAGTTTTGTGCATGGTGAGAGATAGAGGTTTAATATTATTTTGTTACATGTAGATTTCAAATTTTCCCAGCATCATTTGTTGAAAAGGCTATCTTTTCTCCAATGTACATTTTTGGCGCCTTTGTCTAATATAAGATAACTATATTTATGTGGGTTAGACCCTGTGTCCTTAGTTCTGTATCATTGATCTACAGGTCTATTCTAGTGTCAATACCATGCTGTTTTTGTTACTATTACTTTGTAGTATAGTTTAAGGTCTGGAATAGTAATGCCACCAGCTTCACTCTTCTTGCTAAGGATGCTTTCTTTGCCTATTATGGTCTCTTACTTTTCCAGAGGGAATTTCATGATTGCTTTTTCTATTTCTATACGAAATTTCATTGGGATTTTGATTGGGATTGCATTGAATCTGTATAGTGCTTTTGGAAGTATGGTCATTTTGGCAATTTTAATTCTGCCTATCCAAGAACAAGGTAGGTCTTTCCATCTTCTAAGGTCTTCTTTAATTTTTTTCTTTAGCATGTAGTAGTTTTCGTTGTAGAGTCTTTCACCTCTTTTATTAAGTTACTCTCAAGTATTTTATTTTTTGAGGTTATTGTAATTGGTGTGGTTTTCCTAGTTTCTCTTTTAGTGGATTTGTCACTGATGTACAGAAATGCCTTTAACTTATGGGTGTTGATTTTTATATTCAACTACTTTGTTGAATTCATTTATTAGTTCTAGGAGATTTCTGGTAGAATGTTTTGGGTCTTCTAGGTATAGAATCATGTCATTTGCAAATAGTGATAATAAGAGTTCTTCTTTTTCTATCTGTATCCTTTTAATTTCTTTAATCTAATTGCTCTGGCTAGAGTTTCAAGAACTGTGTTAAATAGAAGTGGTGAAAGAGGTTATCCCTGTCTTGTTCCAGTTTTTAGATGGAAAGCTTTCAATTTTATCCATTTAGAATGATGTTGGCCTGAGGCGTAGCCTAAATAGCCTTTACAATGCTGAGGTATATTCCTGTTATCCCTAGTTTTTCTAACATTTTGATCATTAAGGGATGCTGCATTTTATCAAATTCCTTCTTAGCATCTATTGAGAAGGTCATATGATTTGAGTCTATTGATGTGATGAATTACATTTATTGATTTCCATATGTTGAACAAACCTTGCAACCCTGGGATGAACCCAAGATGAACCACAGTGTACTATCTTATTGACATGGTTTTATATTTGATTTGCCAGAACTTTATTGTGAATTTTTGCATCTATGTTCATTAGAGATATTAGTCTGAAAAGAAACAATTGGAGAGGTGAATAGAGAGCCTACAGAATGGAAGCAAATCTTTACCACAAGCACATCAGATAGAGCGCGAATCTCTAGGATATATAAAGCCCTCAAAAATTTTAACACCAACAAACAAACAAAAACCAAATAACCCAATCAATAAATGAGCCAAGGAACTGAACAGACTCTTAGAAGAGGATGTACAATTAACCAACAAACACATACAAAAATTCAACATCTCAAGTAATTAAAGAAATGCAAATCAAAACTACTCTAAATTTTGTCTCGCTCTAGTCAGAATGGTAGCTATCAAGAATACAAACAACAATAAGTGTTGGCAAGGATGTGGGGGGAAAAGGCCCACTCATACATTTTTGGTGGGACTGCAAATTGGTGCAGCCAATATGGAAAGCAGTATGGAGATTCCTTGGAAAACTGGGAATGGAATGACCATTTGACTCAGCTATCCCACTCCTCGGTTTATACCCAAAGGACTTAAAACAGCATACTTCAGGGACTCAGCCATATCAATATTTATAGCAGCACAATTCATAATAGCTAAATTGTGGAACCAATCCAGATGCCCTTCAGTAGATGAGTGGATAGGAAATCTTTGTTATATATACACAATCAAACATTACTCAGCATTAAAAGTGAATAAAATCATGGCATTTGCAAGTAAATGGATGGAGTTGGAAAATATAATGTTAAGTGAAGCAAGCCAATCCCCCCAAATCATAGAAAAAACAATCATGAAATTCATCTGGAAAAATAAGAGACCCAGAATAGCTAAAGTAATTCTAAGCAGGAAGAGTGAAACAGGTGGTATAGTGATACCAGATTTTAAACTATACTGCAGAGCAATAGTAACAAAAACAACATGGTACTGGTACCAAACAGGTGGGTAGACCAATGGTACAGAATAGAGGACACAGAGACCAATCCACAAAATTACAAAAGGTGCTAAAAGTATGCAATGTAGAAAGGATAGCATCTTCAACAAATGGTGCTGGGAGAACTGGAAATCCATACGCAACAAAATGAAATTGAATCCCTTTCTCTCACCATGCACAAAAGTTAACTCAAGATGCATCAAGGAGCTAGGAATCAAACCAGAGACTCTATGTCTAATAGAAGAAAAAGTTGGCCCTAATCTCCATCAAGTGGGGTCGGGCCCCAAATTCCTTAATAGGACACCTATAGCACAAGACTTAAAATCAAGAATCAACAAATGGGACATATTCAAACTAAAAAGTTTTTTTCTCAGCAATAGAAATAATATGTGAGGTAAATAAGGAGCCTACATCCTCAGAACAAAATTTTACACCTCATACTTCAGATAGAGCTCTAATCTCTAGAGTATATAGAGAACTCAAAAAGTTAAACAACAAAATAAATAACCCAATCAACAAGTGGGCCAAGGACCTGAACAGACACTTCTCAGAGGAGGATATACAATCAATCAACAAATACACGAAAAAATGCTCACCATCTCTAGCAGTCAGAGAAATGCAAATTAAAACTACTCTAAGATACCATCTCACTCCGGTAAGAATGGCAGCCATTATGAAGTCAAATAATAATAAGTGCTGGCGAGGATGCGGGGGAAAAGGGTACACTTGTACATTGCTGGTGAGACTGCAAATTGATGCAGCCAATTTGGAAAGCAGTATGGAGATTCCTTGGAAAGCTGGGAATGGAACCACCATTTGACCCAGATATTCCCCTTCTTGAACTATACCCAAAAGACCTAAAAAGAGCATACTACAGGGACACAGCCACATCAATGTTTATAGCAGCACAATTCACATAGCTAGACTGTGGAACCAACCTAGATGCTCTTCAATAGATGAATGGATAAAAAAATGTGGCATTTATACACAATGGAATATTATGCAGCACTAAAAAATAACAAGATCATGGCATTTGCAAGGAAATGTATGGCATTAGAGCAGATTATGCTAAGTGAAGTTAGCCAATCCCTAAAAAACAAATGCCGAAGAATGTCTTCTCTGATATAAGTGAGGGTGACTCAAAAGAGGGTAGGGAGGAAGAGCATAAGAATATTACCACTAAATAGGGAAGAGAGGTGGGAAGGAATGGGAGGGAGAAGGGGAATTGCACAGAAGATGGAAGGAGACCCTCATCATTATACAAAACACATGTGATTATGTGAGGGGGAAGGAAAAAAAAAGAGAGAATGTGTCACATTAGATTGGTAGAGAGAGGTGATGGGAGGGGAGAAGAGGGGAAGGGGGGATAGGAAGTGCAGCAGAATAAAATAGACACTAGTATTGCTGTATGTGTATACGTGGCCGTATAACCAATGGTATTCTGCAACCTGTACACTTGGAAAAATGAGAAATTATACCCCATTTGATTCAAATGTATGATATGTCAAGATCATTGTACTATCATGAGCAACTAATAAAATAAGAAAAATTGTGCTCTATATGTCTAATATGAAATGAATTGCATTCTACCATCATGTATAGCAAATTGGAATAAATAAATAATTTAATTTTAAAAAAGTATAGACTAATAAGAACTAAGAGACATATACAGACACTCCACCCCAAAGTAGAAAAATTGACATTTTTCTCAAGTACACATGGAACTTCTTTGGGGATAGAACATATTTTAGGATACAAAAAGTCATCAAAATCAAGAAAATTGAAATTATATTATAATTCTCTAAATGTTATCCCCTGAAAGTTCACATGTAAGAAATGAAAGAAAGTTTGGGGGAGAAATGATTGGGTTATACCCTTAACCTAATCAGTGAATTAATCCCTAATGGGATTAACTGAGTGGTAACTGGAGGCAGGTGGGGTGTGGCTAGAGGAGGTGGTTCATTTGGGGCTGGGCTATGAAGTATATATTTTATATCTGGCCAGTGGAGTCTCTCTCTGTTTCCTGATCATCATGTGAGCTAATTCTTTCTGCCATAATTTTCTGCCATGATGTCCTTCCTCACCTCAAGCCCCAAGGAATGGAGTCAGCTGCCTATGGATTGAGATCTCTGAAACTGTGAGCCCTTAAATAAACCTTTCCTCCTCTACAATTGTTCTGGCTGGGTCCTTTAGTCACAGCAGTGAAAAAGCTGACTAAAACATATACAAAGTACCCTTCCAAACATAACGAAAAGGAGATAGAAATCAGTAGCACAAGGAAAACTGGAATATTCAGAATTTGTGGAAATTAAGCACAAAGATTCAAGGAAAATGTACAAGGAAACATTGACACAGTGAAACCAAAAATACAACATACCAAAATTTGTGGATCCAACAAAAGCTGTGCTAAAAATAGGGTAGTTAATAACTGCAAATGCATATATTAAAAAAGCTCAAATCAGTGCTATAACTTGGCATCTCAAGAACCTTTAAGTCAAGCAGAGAAAGGAAATAACAAAGATTACAGAAGACACAAATAAATTAGGAGAGCACTTGGAAAAAAATGTAAAAATGGGAGACTTATTTTTTGAAAGAATTGACAAAATTGGCAAACCATTACCCAGATAAACTAAGGAAAAAGAGAAAATCAAATAATTTAAATCAGGAAAGAAAGAAAGGGTACAAATCAAATCAAAATCACATGAATAGAAAAGATTCTAAGAGAACACAGTCAATAATTGTATGACATCAAACTAGATAATCTAAAAATATTGGATAAAATCCTTAACACACAAAACCTATCAAGACTGAATTGTGCTCACTTCAACAGCACATATACTAAAATTGGATCAATAGAGAAGATTTGTATGGCCTCTGCTCAAGGATTACACTCAAATTTGTGAAGCCTTCCATATTAAAACAAAAATTGAATCATGAAAAAAATAGAAAATCTGGACAATAATAAATAAGGAAACTGAATTAGTGATCAAAGGTGATCAAATATCTTCCACCAACAACAATGAATAACAATGAACTATCGAAAAAATAAGAAAACAAAACATTACAATGTCATAAAAAATAAAATACTTAGGAATAAGTCTAACCAAGGAGGTGAGACATTTATAAGCTGAAAATACTGATCAAAAGGGACAAAATAGCAATAAATCCTGTGTTCATGAATTGAAATAATTTAATATTAAGAAAAAGGTTCAGTACAATTTCTATTAAAAATAGTTTTTTTACATAAACAGAAAAAGCGCTCCTAAAATGCATATGAAATAATAACTAACTCCAAAACAAATGCAAACTTGAGTGAGAAGAACAAAGCTGGAAGCACCATACTTCCTGATTTCAGATTACATTACAAAAGTATAGTAATCATAATAGTGTTCTACTGGCATTAAAAATAGACATGGATAAATAGAATGGAGCAGACTCTAGAGGTGAACCTGTGCATATATGGTCAACTACTTTTCTAAAAGGCACCAAGCATACTTTAGGAAATAATAATTCCGTCAATAAATTGTGTTGGGAAAACTGTGTATCAACATGCAAAAGAACTAAATCAGACTCTAATACCATACATAGAAATTACCTCCAAATGGATTAAAGACTTTAAGACTTGAAACCATGAAAGTTAAAAAAAATGACATCAATTTTATCAATGAGATCTGTGTCAGATGAAAGTAATAACATTTAGGATTATATCAACCTAAAGGTTTCCTGCACAACAACAACAACAACAAATCAACAAAATGAAAAGACAACCTAAGAAATAAAAGGGAATATTTGCAAAATATACACCTTAATAAGAATGAATTCCAAAATATGTTAAGAAACTCTGACAAATCAAGAAGGAAAAAACCCAAAAACTGGTTAAAAGAAATGGGCTGAGGATGTGAACAGACATTTCTCCAAAGACATACTAAAGGCTAATGTGAATATGAAAAGATGTTCAATATCACTAGTCAACTGCAATTCCAAGTTGGGCAAATGAAAATCAAAATCACAGTGAAGGTTTTAGTTCAGTGGTAGGGTGCTTGCCAAGCACATGTGAGGCACTGGGTTCAATACACAGCACCACATAAAAAAATAATAAAATAAAAGCATTGTGTCCATCTACAACTAAAAATATTTTTAAAATCTCAGTGAGATATCATTTCATACCTGTCAAGATGGCTACTATCAAAATAAATAACAGACATATGTTGTTAAAGATGTGAAGAAATTGCAACTCTATACCTTACTGGTAGCAATGTAAATTGGTATAACCCTTATGCAAAACAGTATGGAAGTTCCTCAAATTATCAAAGATGGAACTACCATAAGATCCAGTAATCCAACTTCCAGATATTTGTCCAAAAGAATAAAAAACAGGATCGTGAATACATATTAGCACTTCCTTGTTTATTGTAGCATTGTTTACAATAGTCAAGATGTAGAAACAATCTAAATTTTTATCTATGAATGAATAAAAGGAGATCTTGCCACTTGGGGAAATATGGAAGAACTTGGAGGACATTATGCTAAGTGAAATAAACCAGACATAGTAAAACACATGCATGATTTTAATTATTTGTGGAATTTAAGTGAAACTCAAACAGGGAATAGAATGGTGATCACCAGGGGTCATGGTACAGAAAGAAATAGACAGAGGCTGGTCACAGGTTACAATGGGTTTCTAATCCTGAGAATCTCAAAATGTGACATTACTTCAAATAGGGTAATTTCTAAGTTAAAATAAGTTTATTAGGATGGTGCCTAATCCACTATCACTGGTATTCTTATAAAAAGAGAAAATTTGGAGACACACACAAGAATGCCTTGTGAAGATGAAGGAAGAAACTGGAACAACACATCAACAAGCCAAAGAATGCCAAAGATTGCTAGCAAATCACCAGAAATTAGAAGAGAGGCATGAAAATGATTCTCTTTTCGTAAGTCAATATAAAAGTTTGAAAATAGACCAAAAGATATTTAATAGACACATAGCTAAAATAAAAAGATTTCACAATACCATGTGATGAGTGATAGAAATTTAATACGTTGTTTAATGTAAAATGGCACTGCAATTCAGAAAATTTGACAATTTTTTTTATGATTGTATGCCTTTGCCAACTCTTGAAGAACTGTACAATAAAAAGGGTGAACTTTCACTGTGTTATATCTTAATGCAAAACAAAAAAGAGGAAACACAATAAATGTTTCACAATAAAATACAGAATAATATCTTCTGATTTCAGCATAAGTAGTTTTCTTAAACAGTATACCAAAACCACAGGAAAAAACCCACATATATCATTAACACTAAGGTTTAGAATTTCTTTTTATTAAAAGAAACTATTGAGAAAAGAGAAAGGCATTCCCCAGAATGGTGAAAGATATTTGCAATTCAAATGTCTATGAAGAACTTTATATTTAATCTAGAACATATAAAGAATTCCCCAAGTTCAATCAGAAAAGGATAAATAGCTATTAGAATAAATGGACAAAAGACTTCACAAAGGATAGTTTTCAAATGGCCAATAAACATTTGGAAATTGCTCTATTTCATTAATCCTCAAAGAAATGTAAATCCAATCCACAATGTGACAACTGCATATCCATCATAAAGACCAAAATGAAAAAAACAATAACTGATAATTCAAAGTATTGTTAAGGATATAGAGCAAACAGATTCTCATGGTTAAGAGAGTATAACTAATATATCAAAAGACATGTATCAAATAGTTATAATATCTCTATTCATGTGGCCTCAAACTATAAAACACGATCAGTAAAATGAATAAAAGATCTTACATTCATATAGTGGAATGCTATAGAGTAATGAGAGTGAAAGAACTGCAGCTATACTCAACAATATTATAGATAGCTCGTGAAAACAATATATAAAACTAAAAAATCCAGACATAATACCACATGGTTCTATTTATATATTTGCAAATATCAGCCAAGCTGCATTATTAATTGGACATCTAAGCTGTATTTAGATGTCCAGTTATTGATCACATAAAAGAAGACATGAAAGAATATCTGAAAAAAATGTGAAAATGGGGAATTGGGAATGTCAGTAATGGTTTTTATCTTGAACTGGATAATGATTACATGAGTATGTTCAGTCTATGAAATTTGTAGAAGTGAACAGTGTGACTTTTATATTTTTGTACATATTTACACTTAAAAATAAGTTCCAAGTATACTAAAAATCCTCGTCAAAAAACTAGAAAAAATCATTTTAAATAACCTAAAAATTAGGAGGAGATAGTAAGAGTATTTAATTCTGAATGCATCCTGTCTCCTGTTTGATTTTCATTTGAATACATTTCCCTCTCCTGTGTTGAGCAGCACCTAGAATCACAACTCTGTTCCTTGGCAAAACATGTAAAACTTCAGGCTCTATGGAAATATTTATAGAGACATTTGTTGTAAACCTATCACCTCTCTGTGCTAAATAAGAGTTTATTTTCAGAGGGCTCCAGGGCAAGGATTAAGCATTGTGAGTTCTAAAGAATGGTTGGCACTTTAGAAATTCTCACTCCAGAGGTGAAGGGCAGCTCAACTCCTTGTGGATGTAGCTTGATTCATGGACTTCCACAGACCAGAAGAGCATCACTGATTGTGTTTTGTGGAAGTAGATGCTGCATTAGAATTGAGGGTGCAAAATATTTACTGAAGTTTAATCCTTTTGATAATAAATAGAGTTGGGGGTTGATGAGAGAACAGAGTTGTGTAGAGGAAGAATTTAAACTGTCATGCAGGCCTAACAAAACCTCAGCCAACTGGGTGGTAAAGGTTGAAGCAGCAAGGACCGAGGTTCAACTTAATAATGAATTGTTCCAATGATATTTTTCTAGCTTATAAAAGGGAAAACAAATCACAGGAACCACAGGGGTCATATTGGGGAAGCACACCCTCAGACTTTGCCTTTAAAGTAAAAAACTGTCTCATTCATTTCTCTACACCCAGAATGATATGAGGCTCAAAATATCTTCAAATCTATAAAATTTTCAAGTAAGCAAGAGGATATAAATGGAAAAAGAAATTTCAGCTGTTCTTTCAGGAGAAAGCAATCATATATTGATCCATCCATCTTGATTAACCAGAAACAGGTTTTGAAATATGTGATGGACTTTGGAAATATTGGATTTAGAAAGAGCCTAAAAGGGTACCAGTTATTTCCGTTAACCTATCTCAAGTACTTCTTGAGAGACAAGTGGTGAAGATTCACTGTTAAGCACCGGTATCCAGAGTTCTATGACAGTTGAAACTTACTGTTGACTCAAGTTGGTTGATTGGCACAGGTTGGTACAGATTATAAAAGTAAGTAAATGATCCTGAGAATTTGTAATGAGAACAAAAAGGATAAATAAATATGCAGAGAGTTTAAAAAAGAAACTATAGGACGGGGGTTGGAAATGAATCAGGGAGGAAAGACAAACTGATAAGAGAAAATTGGAGTTAGGAATGAGAGCATGTTAAAAAAATGAAATGGGTAAAATATCTTTGTTGCTCTTCAAAACTTTCTTTGGAGTTTTCCTCTCACCTAAGACAGCTGAGTACCCTCACAGAAAGTCTATATGATAATAGCAAAAATTGTGTAAGTGGCTAAAAATCTCTTCCTACTGTTGCTACTTTTCTTTTTGTCTTCCTAGGCTCTAAGACGGCTGATAAAATGAAACTTTGGGGTGTGGTGCCAACCATACTAGAGATGAGCAAAGATCCCACTAACTTCTACATAGGACGAATACTGTGGTTCAGTGTCACTTTTATTTATGTTTCAGTTGTGCATATTGTGCAAATGTCCTGGATTCATGTAGAAACTGACTTCCAGTGCCATGGGAATATTTCTGATGCCTGTTTAGCAGAATGCTACGAGGACCACTTCACCAAACCTATTCTAGGAGTTTGGTATATGGTTG